TAGAGTTGCCAGGAACAGTCATGATCCTTCTAGAAACTCCAGCGAGCATGCTTCCAGCGTCACGTGACTTCCGCTGTCGTAATATTAACTACTTTTATAATACACGTTATAAATTACAGCGATTCACACACGTTACTTACCGTCATTACTGTTCGCTTCTTTAATTATCTGTCTATATCGCTGGCTTTCTTTGTCACGCTTATATACTAAAAAAGAGGGGATCTAGCAAACACTCGGACATTCGCGGGATCCCCCGATAATTCGAGAAACTCCAGCGCGCATGCTCCCAGCGTCACGCGACTTCCGCTGGCGTAACAATATGTCTGTATCCATAATACATCATTCTGTTACAAAATTATACCGTACTCAAGTTTTCCAGTGGCAAGATGACCAGATGGTGGTGTGGTGTAAATGATGATAAGCCCAAGCTCCAGCGTCGTGATATGATGAGGTTGTACAATTCAAAGAAAAATTCATAATTCCAAAACCGAGTTGATGTTCATAAAGTCCATATTAAACACGGAGGATAAACGATAAAGCGTAACAAGTATATCAGTTTAAATATTACTACTCCTTTGCAGCATTTGAAATACCATTAGTCAGATGTGGAAATGACCAAGCCTGAATAGATAATCACCAAAGAACAAGTTAGCATATGAAGAAGAGTAGATTTTGATGAAACCAACACTGAGCCTTTAACAGGTCTACCAGGTATTCGGCCGAGGTAAAAAAAAGTAAATCAAGAGATGATAAAGCCCCCCTCCCTTCTCCTGAATGAAATACTCACTGTTAAACAGCTGATCTGTGTTTTTACGTTTCAACATTTGGAACACTGTTAGAGGTTCTAATTAGAAAATTTTATATATGAACAAAGATGATAGTACAAACCCCAAATAATGTAAACTTATCAATGTTCGTTAACTACCATTATAGTTACACATTCAAACCTGACGAAGTTACTCCCAGTTAACAATAATGAAGTAGCCCAAATAGAACTGTTTCTTTTTCAGGGAATTCTTGATAGCTTGCGCACATTATAGGAGCTAGATTTTTTAAACAACTACAAAATATTTTTTATTTACTGAATATTAAAATAAATAACAGAAAAAAAAACGGCCACTCATTCGCTCAATGTTAAGTCAAGAGGCTTACGACGCTACAAATAGGATTTCGATACCCATGGTGGGCAGGGCACAGATAGCCCATTGCGTAGTTTTGTGCTTAACAAAAACCAAACAACAAAAAACACAAATATTAAATTATTAAAATTTCGTTTCCT